GTGTAGCTCTGGTATTACTAGAATTTGGCAAGGTTTTTTTCTTTTTTTTAAATTTAAATTTTAGTTTTCCCTTGGCTGTTTAAGGGAATAATGTATCAGTTTAACAGAAAAATCCCTCAGAATCTCATCAGCTCTGGGAGGGGCTCATATGGAGGCCATCCTTTGAAAGTAGGTTCTGGGGGCATCTGTAATGCCATTCACTTAGTGGACATTTGTTTGTGGTCATGTAAAGACAACTCACACAGAGGAAAACTAGAATGAAATACAGGAAATAAAGGGGGATAGAGGGAAGCAGGAAGACGTCAGTCTTACGGTCTTCTGTTTTAGGTACCTCTTGTGTCTTTAATTTTTCATTAATTAGCCTTTTACAAAAAATCTTTCAATGAAGCTATTTTGGAGTTTTGAAACCTTTTGGAGGCTGCTGCAGTCCAGTTAAAATAGGCATCCTATTCTGTTTGTTCGATATGGGAGCCCTTCTTGTAAGTGCACTTCTTAAGTAAATGGTCTTGTCTAATTGCCCCTGACGCCATTGTAATTCTAGGTTGTTTAGTAAGATCTTTGCCATTTTTGTAATCTGTATAGCTTCCAGGACCACAGTTCTCAGACATAAATAAAGAGGCATGCCAGTTCATGACTCTTTAGAAATTAAGGATCCCATCTTTGCCATTTATTTATGGTTTAGCTAAGCCTTGAAGCTTCTTGGGGCCAGATTAATACCTAAGAGGGGTGTACACAGGGTTAGGATTACACGGTGTCTCATACTGTACCTCACGGTGCAGGGAATTACTTGAGGTTGGTGGGTGATCTAGTGTCAGTCTACCTGCTTCATGACCAGCTTAACCCTGGAGTCTTTGCATTAGGTGGTGAGTGCTCGAAGAACTCTTAAATACTTGATCTGTGCCCACCAATTTTGTGGCTATTTGGCTTCTGAGATGCCTATTAGCAGTTAGCTTTTATCTACATAAAACAAGACAAATAAATTTGTGCACCTCAACAGATCAGCAGTAACCAAGAGATGTTACTGCGACCCATGCAAGAGAAGGCCCTTTTGTACCACCACCAATTCCTGGGGAACCCTGGACTGGGGAAAGGCTTGAACCAGCAGCCCCCCAAGGAAGGGGAACTGTGGGCTGATTCCAAACAGATGGAACACCACAGCTGCCACTAACAGGTCCCAGTGTGGAATCTGGGGAAAGAATCAAGGGCTGGGACTTTCTACTAAAAAAACCTGGGAACTGTGGCTTGAAAGGTTAAGGGCTTGACCCCAGGCAGAACCATCTACCACCCTAGCTGGGTTGCAGTGAGAACTGTCAATTCAAATGGGCTCCGAGCAGAACTCTTTGGCAGCTCAAGCTGACCTGCCCTGTAAAGGAAAACCTGTTGGATCAGGAGTGTAATGCAAAGGGAGGGGGACTTGGAATCAAGAGAGAACTTACCCACCAACCTCAGTGACAGTGAGAAAGGAGTGAACTCAGAGCGCTCACAGGGTGCCATCCATTCCTGTGTTTCTCTTTGTCGTTGAAGACACTGGAAGTCTCCTTTAACAGACTGCCACCAAATCTGTTAAAAAACAAAATTCCTCTGAGTTTAATTTAAAGATCACACAGGCTTTATTCAATGACTTATGAATCAGGCAGCATCCCATCCAGCACTTAGAAAGCAGCTCAGGACAGGAAAGGTATATAAAGGCAGAGACAGAACAGGGGCAAAAGGAAATTATTAGCAAAGAAGGCATTGTTTCAGGCAAGGTCCTCCACAAGGTCAACACAAGGTTCCTATTAGTAAATGTCCTAGCGCTGCCCAGGAAATTCCAGGTTGGCCCAGTTGAAGTCTCATATCTGAGGAGGGTTGAAGCTGCAATTTGATTACATGTTAAGTCTTGGCTTGCTGCCTCGTGGTCTAACACAAGTGATTCCCTTTTGGGATTGTTGTCTCCGTTTTAAAAGCGGGAAGAGGGGCCCGGATGTGTGAGCTCGACGGGTCTGGCTGTGTTCGGGGTGGTAACAGTCGGCCGTGTTGTTTCCACCTTGCTCAGGCTCCCGGAACCCCAGCCACCCATCTGGGGAGGAATTCCAGAATGGCAGGAGAAAATGGAGCACTCCTTCCTTAGGGGGATCCTTAAAACAAAATAGGATTTAGATTGTCCAAGAGATGCCTCATTTCCAAGAGTTTCTGAGGGATGGGGTGCTGATCACAATCTTTTGAATGGTGGGTGTAGAGGGAAAATCTCATTTCCCTTAGCAACAGAATTGTGGCCTCGATCCTTCCCCAGCTGAGACTCACTTTTGAGAAATACTTTGAAAAGCTCCTGGGGGTGGGAAGTAAGGCCCCCAAGGGCCGGCTTGAATGTCACCAATAGCTGCCTGTGGCCGCTTCCCCCATGGGGGGTTGGCCGGTCCTTGCAGAGCTTCTGTTTCCAGTTCCATGAGGTTTGGTTAATTCTGAAGACAAAGAAGATGACTAACAGCTGAGTGAGAGAGGCTGAGTGAGGATGAAGCCTGGGTGCTGCCCCCCGTCGCTCCTTGGCCCCCCCTAACACTTCTCACGGATGCCCAACAAGGGGCTCAGCTCTGGGGTGGAGCGTGGTCCCACCCCGAGGCCGGGAAGGTCAGGTCCAGAGCCACCTCAGCTGGTTTGCAGAAGTGAGGGGTCAAAATCAAAACCCACATCTTTCTGCTAGCCATCTGTCAACCTTCACTGGGGTCAGAGCCCCAGGAGGAATATGGGGTGGGTACCAAAGAAGGGCGGTCGTCCACCACCCACCCGCTGCCCCTGGCTTCTTGCAAGGCTGATTTTGCGCAGCTTTCTTTAATATAATGGCAGAGGCAGGAATTCCCTGGCGAGGCCGGTGCTAAATGTCAGACACAGCGGCTTCTCCTTCCTGGTTCATTGCTCTGGTTTCAGATTTACTCTCCCTAGGAGAACCTTACTTCAAGCCCAATTGCCCCAGCCAGGTCTTCTGTTTTGTGAATTAATCAAATAATAATAGTGCTCCCCCTGCTGGGAACCAGGGGAAGGCAGCAGCAAGTCCTACATCTAGCTAGCGGAGGAGCAGAGACCCGCTTGGACGCCACGCTTCCTTGTGGATTCAGTGACTGAAGTTCGGCCCCTCTGGTCTGGCTCTGAGGCTGCAGGCTCAGCTCCCCTTCCAGGCCGAGGAAGTCTGTCATTCTCTGCCAACCCACTCTGGGGAGACTATGGGCCTTGGCAGTTGGCCTGGCCCCATGCTGCCCAGGAATTGAAGGGCTTGATGATAGCAGACTTAGATGGAACTCACAGTGCCCTTTCCTGCCCTTTTACATTTAACTTTTAACTTAAAAAAAAATTGAAGTCTAGCACACATACAGAAAAACATACAGATCTTGTTAAAGGACAAGTTTTTTAAAGGTGCAATCATGCCTTTCATACACATATAAAATGAACACATGTCAAATATTTTATTTAACTCAACTAATGAGGGAATCAGTACCACGTTACAATCGGTTGGTTCAAAGGAGAATCCAAAAAGCAGATACATACAGGCAGCCAGGAATGCTGGAAGAAATCAGTTTAACAGGGGAAAAATGGGTCAATATCCACAGGTCACTAGCCAACCGCAGCTCTGCCGGACACAATGTACATTTTTCTGGACAAGAATCATTTGCATTATCAGTATTCATCAACTTATAGTCATAAAACAGCTCAAAGATGATGAAAGGTGTGTAGAATAAACTAATCTTGATGAATACAGTAGACAGCACCCACTTTTCTACTGAAGAAACCTCATAATTTGGGGGATCTGTTTCAAAGCATTTCACAGTTGATCCTTTGAGCTCTAGTGCGTGGCTCAATTCATTGTTTCCAAAGGAAAACCTCTAACTACCACTCAGGACAAGAAATAGAACAGCAGTTCCTTGCAAGCCCTTCTTGGGTGTTTTCCCATTCATCACTGTGCCTTCCTCCCTGAAGGTAACCACTATCTGGATTTCCAAACCCAAGGGCTATTTTTGTCTATTTTTGAATTTCCTATAAATGTAACCAAAGAATACTCTCTTATGTCTGGCTTCTTTCACTCAGCAAGATGTGTCTGAGATTCACCTGTGTCACTGCACACATCAACTGTGCATTCCTTCCATTGCTGGGTGGCTGCACCTGGGGAGGTCTCTCCCTGTGCACTAGATGAGAAACCTCAGCCTGGGTGGAGGGGAGGGTTCTTGATTATGACTGAGAAAAGAAAGAATTCTCGAATAGGTCAGACGAGTGTAGGTAAGGAAGGAATTCATTCAAGTGAGAGAAGAAGTGAAGGGCAGCAGCCTTCAGGCAGTGGGGAGCAAGGAAGAGCAGAGGGAGGAAAGGGGAAGCTCACTGAACTCCTGTTGGGCATAGGGCAAAACCCTTGCCAACTCCTGAAGCCAAGGTCACCTGGCATCCAGTGTCTGATTGAATCTGCATAGTGTGGGAACTAAATTCCTACCACCCCAGGATTTGGGGGAGCTGCAGAACACTGGATAGAGTGAGATTAAGTTTTGAGAACTTCCCAAAGGTAAAGGAAGGAGATTTTCAGGCAGGCTACTGAAGAGCAGAACATACAAGGGAAGCTCACTGAACTCCTGTTGGGCATAGGGCAAAACCCTTGCCAACTCCTGAAGCCAAGGTCACCTGGCATCCAGTGTCTGATTGAATCTGCGTAGTGTGGGAACGAAATTCCTACCACCCCAGGATTTGGGGGAGCTGCAGAACACTGGATAGAGTGAGATTAAGTTTTGAGAACTTCCCAAAGGTAAAGGAAGGAGATTTTCAGGCAGGCTACTGAAGAGCAGAACATACAGCTGCCGTCCTGTCCGGGTCACCCAGGCGGTGGGAACTTGCAAGCCCAGATCAGAGATCTCAGTAGCTCTTCCCTACTTGTCTGAAGTAGAACCGAGAGAAGACTAGTGCTTAAGTCTGGAAAACTGAATGAAATAGCAAACAAAAAAAGACACTTACCACTGGGAAAAGGGGCTTCTTAGTAATCTCCCAAGATGCTTGGAAGAGCACAGAGACAAAACGCGGTAAGTTGAGTAACAAGAAGTCTTTATTTAAGACAAAGTACACACTCAAAGAAAGGGGAGTGTGGACAACCTCAGAGAGAAGGCATGTTTAAAGCTTAGGATTTATGTCTTTTAAGGATTTCACGAAGTGGGGCAAAGGGCCAGGGGCACAGGCTTGACATGTGGTCTCATGATGTCTATCTCTGGTGAGACATTATGTCATTATCCATAGTCAGTCCTCTGGATATTCTGTAAGATAAACTTAACACAAGGAATTTCTTGATCCTGTTCTTCTCCAAGATTGGTTACCCTCAAGCAGTGAGGACATCTCCTTTAGGGTTGCTTGCCCTGCCTTAAGATAGGGTAGGTTATTGGCTGATTACAATAAAATATGTTAGGAATCTTACCTCCTAACTCCCTGGTTTTTGAAATGGAATCTGAGCCTTACAATGGAGTCCCTCCTGTTCTTACTATACTGTTTATGTCTTGGCATTTCTCATCATAGGAAGAATTCATCACGATGCTCGACCCATGTCCCTGCTGTACCTCACTTTATGGCAGGACAGTGGTCCGCCAGGCAAAGAGACCTGTATCCATTCTACTATTGATGGGCACTTGAGTGGATTCCAGTTTAGGAAATAATAGTGCTGGGGTGAACAGTCTTGTGCACGTCTTTGGGGGCCCATGTGCTCGTGTTTCTGATGAAGTAAAACTACTAGAGGTCATAGGGTTGAGGTATGCTCAGTTTTAGTAGGTTCTACCAAGTTCTCAAAGGGGCTGAACCAATCTCATCCACCACAGGAGACAGGGCTTCCTCACTGCTCCACCATCTGCCCTCTCTCCCTGTTACGGTCAGTCCTTTCCAGCTTCTGGCCCCAGGATTGTTTCCTGAACTCCCCCCAGGGAACATTTCTTCCCCAGAAGTTTAGGCCCTTGCCTGCAGTCATGTTTAAGCAGCTACAGTCTCAGCAGCCACTTTTAGACCATGATTACCTGTCCAGTCCTTGCTCAGCATTCTCCAGCGCCTCCCTTCATCCTCAAGATAAAACCCTAGTTTACTTTGCTCTGGCCACTGCCTGCTTGTCTCGCCTTGTGCCCATCACTTGCCCCCCATCACTGGCTCCAGCCCCACTGAACTTCTTTTGGTTCTTTAAACACATCAGGTTCATTCCTAACTTCATGGTCTTTGCACCGTTGTTCCCTCTGCTGGGGAATGGCCCTCCCTGGGTCTTTGCATGGGACTCTGTGACATTCCAACTTGGCTCACATGTCACTTCTCAGTGATGTTTTACCTGACATAAGATAATATGAAATAAGCAAAGAAAAGATTATTGCATGTTTCCAGTGGAAAACTGCATTGCTTACAGAACACCTTTTGGCCATCTGGTTCTGGTCTTCTGCTGCTTCTGAGCTGTTTTATGGTGTTTTAAGTTGTACAGAACCTGTGGGGATGCAAATGATTCTCACCTTTGGACCCCAAAATAAACTGCACTGGGGCTGCCCAACTGACTTCCATCCCTCTCTGAGGAAGAAGGAAGAAGCCAATTTCATGTCTATTTGCAAATTCATTTCAACATTCCTCAACTATAAATGTGTCTGTTCTTTGCTTTCTTCTTTGAACTACTTGCAACATCTGCCCGGTTCCCTTGTTAATAATGAGTTAAATAAAATCTTTAACACGGGTTCATTTTTTTTTAATTTTAATGAAGTCCAACTTGTCGATTTTTGTGGATTGTGGTTTTCGTGACACGGGTTCATTTTTAAACATCCATATGAAACATCATAATGTTGCCTTCTTTGAAAGTTATCTTTTAACATTGGCCTTCCCCAGCGAAACTCTCTGAAACTCATTGTTTGGTTTTATTTTCTGCAGAGCTGGATCATCATGTGAGATTACTTGATTCATTGAGTTCTTTACTTGGTTTCGGTGGGCGGGCCTTTCCCTGTCTTGCTCCCTGCACGGGTTAGGAACTGCAGATCAGAATCACAGACCGACTGACAGTGAGTTCAGCAGAGCTCCTACTCAGCCCTCCCTGCCCCTCCTCTCCTGCAGGGCAACCTGCGGTGTTCCTATGGATCCTCCCCTTCGGGTCAAACAAGGACAGGCCAAGCCCTGCACTTGATGTTCCTGCTGGGTAATAAATCATGTTTGTTTCGCTTGCATCACAGGCTTTGGGCATTTCCCCAGTGGGCAGATTAATAAGCAACCTGGTGATATTGGGTACTTTGGAAGTGAGAAGCCTTCTGCAGAAACATCGATCTCAGTCTGTCATCCTCCCAACAAGGAAACGGGATTCCAGGAGCCCAAGTGCTGGAGGTCACGTGGCTGGCTGATGCCAGAATTTGGGTAGGGCCTGCGATCCTCTGACTCAGAATTCAGCGCTTGTTTCAATCATAAAAACCAGCACAGGAGTATGTGTTGTGTGCCAGGCCTGCCTTCGGGGATCTGTGTCCATGAACTCATCCTTATGCCAGCAGGACTTTTAGATGAGGAAACCACGGTCCAGAGGAGGGAACGACTTGTCTGTGGTCCCACCGTGATGATGGCGAAGCCAGGATTTCAGTCCGGGCAGGCAGGCTCCAGAGTCTCTGCGCTTAACCATCACACCAAATAGAAGATACTAGAGGAACAGCACAAACCCATTGAACATTTATTCCATCCTTGTTGACCACTTGTTGAACCCAGGCCCTGTGCTGAGGCTTGTACATGCATAGTTTCGTCTCATCTTCTTAATACTGAATGAGGGAGGTGCTGGTATTGTGCTGCAAAGTTCAGGGGTCCCCAAGACCACCCTCATGTTTGGCAATTCACTAGAGGCACTCTTAGAACTCAAAAAAGGCATTATACTCATGGCTATGGTTCATTTCAGCAAAAGGACACAGAGGAGGATCAGCCAAGGGAAGAAGCACCCAGGTAGAATCTGGGAGAGACCCAGGCACAGGCGTCTAATTGTCCTTCCCCAGCAGAGTTGTTCAAATGGAGCCAACTTCCAGTGATGATGCGTGACAATGTGTGTAGTGTGTTGCCAACCAGGGAAGCTCACCTGAGCCTTGGTGTCCAGAGTTTTTTCTGGGGGTCAGTCACAGAGGCATGACCGTCCGCATAGCTCATCTCAGTCCCCAGCCCCTGCAAAGGTTGAGGTTGCACCAATGGCCCAAGGCCCCCCACCATAAATCACATTGTTAGCATAGTCTATCCAGTGTGGCCCAAGGTCCCCAGGTAAACAAAGTTACTTATCTGGTGAAATATCCCAAGAGCTCAGAATTTGCCTCTCAGGAGCTGGAGGCAGAGAGCCAAACCTTTCCATTGGCAAGGTCAATCCTTTACTACACACGTGCCCATTTTGCAGAAGAGTAAATGGAGTCTTGGAGAGGTTAAGTGACTTGCCCACACAGCTAGATCCAGGATCTGAACCCTGACAGTCCATTGCCAGGGCCCCACGCACCTTGTCTTCTCCCTGGAAGCTTTAATGTCTGTTGAGAGAGAAATTAACCCAGGAGATAAGATTTTTCCATATTTCCATTTATCCAATTGTCAGGTTAAGTCATGTCTAGAGTATGGTTAATTGAAAATTTCTATCAGCTCTATACCATTAGGGAGGCCTGAGCAGGGCTCTATTTGGGGAACTATATCATATCCAGCCAGATTTTACATACTGGGGCCAAACAATTCACTTGATATTGTTGTTTTAGTGTGAATCCAGAAAACCCCAGTGTAGTTGAAATGAAAACTCGTATTTATCAGGTATCTGTGGATGCCAGGCACTGGGCAAGGTGTTGGGGATAGTACAGTAAATAAATTAGACATAATTTATACCTCTTCATGGAGCTTATCATTTGTTTTGTGGGGAGAAGGGAAATAGACAAATCATTAGGTCATTTCTCCCATTAATCTCCTCTCCTGGTCATGCTAGGATCCAGCCATAGCCATTAACTGGACAAATATTTACTGAGCAGCTACTGTGTACCAGGCACAGGTCAATGGAAAGGCCTTAGGAATAGAGTGTAAACAGACGGACACAGCCCTTGCCCTCTCCAAGCTCCTCTTCTCCTGAGTGGGCGAAGAGCTTATCTGCACTTATCTTCACTCAAGTGGAAAAATAGAAATCTTGTGAACCACTAGATAACATAATTTCCAATAGTGTTGGGACCCAGGAAGGAATGAAACACAAGGCCAGGGTAGAGACATTTATAATGCCTTAAAAAGAAACTTTCAGTTATTTTACCCACACAATGGGTTTATTTGAGAACAGCAAGGAATTGCAATTGGGGACAAACCAGTCATGGCAAACCAGCAGTTCTGTCTAAAGAATGAAGCAGTGGAGCACCATTATAGAGGAAAGGGGCTGAACTGTGGGGCTGTACTAAGCAAAAAGCCCATTGGGATAAACTGGATGGCCAATGTGTCATGGCCTCTTATTGGCTGAACTGTGACAGTCCCTCATTGGCTGGGCTGTTGCTGGGGGAGGTAAAAACCCTCCCTTCCTCCTGCAGGGGAGTAATGTAGCTAAAACAGTGTGACAAGGTGTCTCCTCCAGTGAGGTCTGTTATTGACCAGGAGTGCTGGGAGCTCCCCCTGCTGGCCTCCTGAGGTCATGTCAGAAAAGTTCCCCTTCATTTTCAGAGTCGGTGGGTGTGGTCAAGGAGGGCCTGTCAGAGGGAGGGACAGGGAAGCTGACACCTGCTAGGTGAAGAGGAGCCGGCCTGAGAAGAACGGGGAACAGTGCTCAAGACAGAGGGAACAGCATGTGCAGAAGCCCCGAGGTGGAGAAAAGACCAGCTTAGCCAGAGTGTGGTGATGGAAGAGCACAGAGAAGTGGGCAGGACTGCGTGAGCTGTGTAAGTGTTTGGATCTTACTCCAAGGGCAGTGGGGAGCCACTAAAGGATTCTGAGAAGGGGTGGACCCCAAGGTGATTTACAGGCACACTGGAGTCTGAGAAGCCCCATCTGAAGACGTTTCTCCTTTTACATTCTCTGAGCTATGACCTCTGGAGCAAAGGGACCCTCTCAGTTGTGACCATATGATTCCTCCGAGCCCCTTCTTAACCATTTTGAGGTCATTGGGAGAAGTCCTGCCTCATTCTCAGACTATCTTCTTGCTCAGCAGACAAGGTCCAGGCTTCTCAGACTACGTGGCCCTGCGGGTCCCCAGGAGCCATGTGGAGAGTTTGAGACGGTGGTGAGGGTCAGTCCTTGGCCAGGGAGGCTTCCCTAGGGCGAAAGTGTGCACACCTCACCCTTGGCCTTTGCCTGCCTTTCCCCTGACTGGAGCATTCCTCCCCCATTTCCATGGCTGGTTCCTTCCCATCACTCAAATCTCTGCCCCAAGGCCACCTCCCCAAGAAGCCTTCCTGGTAGTCCCCACCACCCCAGTCACAGTCTCATCCTGTTTGCTTCTCAGCACGCATCCCTGCTCAGGGATCTTTGATGGGCCACCTGCCTGTCACCTGTGTTCCCCCCACAGAAGGCGACTCTGTGAGGCCACATGTTTCTGGTTTATTTCTCTCTCTCCAGAACCAAGAACACTGCCTGGTACTTAGTAGGCACTCAAAAAATACTTGTTGAATGAATGAACAGCCTGAAACCCTAGGAAAGTGCCCATCTGGTGTTGATATGCTACAAAATCTGTATCAACAAGACAAAAAAAATGGATTTGGGGGAACTGCCCACCTGAAATAGCAAAAACCACCGGCATAGTATCAGAAAACTTTCCACCACAGGCTTGCCAACAGAGGTGGGTACCACCAGGTGATTACCTGGAACCTTCCAGAAGGGACAAGAGTAGAGAGATGTGCAGATTGCCTGCTTCCCTCTGTTATTCACCACAGAACAGGCCTTCAGAATTCTTCTGTTTTGCACAAAAAGAGAAATTGAGGAGAGGGGCTTTCTGATCTCCCTCAGAGCCTAGGAAAATCTCCCAGAGCCTCTCTTCATTCTGGAAATTCCTCAAGCACCTTCTGGGACTGATGGGGCTTAAATCTGCCTTGGGAGGGTGAGCTGCCCAGTGGCTAGCCAGCCTGCGATGCCTTGGGAGTGGCATTTATGTATTAAAAGACCACTTTTCGAGGAGAAATGCTGTGGATACATTAAGCTGTCGCCTGTTCTTGGGAGAGCCATTATTAATGGAAAACAATAGATTAATAGTTTTAAAACGCTTGTTCAATAAGTAATTTTTATGGCTCTGGATAGAGCCCATTAAACATTTCTGTGTGTTATTATAAGGAAGTTTTAAGCGTAAAATCATAAAGTCAATAATCAGAGAATTAGTCACAGCGGCCAGCCACAGGCCATTAGTTTTAGACGCTGTCAGAGACACCTGTAGCTTACGCAGGAGAGTTTTCTTTCCACGCAGCCGTGCTAGTGGCAGCGCCAGGTGGGGATGGAGAAATGACGGTGCCTGCTGACTTCCATAAACTTGAGGGGACAGCAAGCAGGTGTGAGCAGCGGGACGCCAGGCAAATATTTACAAAGTGCAAACGTGAATGCAAAACTAAAAAGATCCAGGTCAATTTGCACATCCAGGCTTAGACACTTTATTTCCCCAGTGATCTACCTTTCAGAGCCTCCTCTGCCAGAGGCATGGCCTGGATCTCTAGCTAAAGATAGAGGTGGAAGCTGCATGCTTTTAAAAGGAAAGCATGTCACCAGAGAATCTCCCACGTAAGGGCTTCCAGAGCTGTTTTCTGAAATAGTGTGTTTGTCTCCTGTCAACTACACAGGCGAGTCAAGTATTTGATAATGAAACTGTGAGCTTTAAAAAACGACCCCCCAAAAAACAAAAATTGTGACAAAAGCAATACAAGATAATTATGGAAACCAGAGGAAATCCAAAGAAAATAATAACACTACCCATAATCTGTCTGCCCAGAGATACACTTCTTTCTATTTGACTCATTTGACAAATATTTATTGAGAGGCCCCTGTACGTACACCTGCCACTGCTCTGGGCACTAGAGATGCAGGGATGAACAAAACAATCACCCCTGGTCCCCGGAGCTGATATTTAGGTGGGGGGAGACAAGCAACACATATAATAAATAAGTCAGTTAAACAGCAGGTTAGAGGGTAGTAAGAGCTACAGAAAAGGGGAGCAGGAGAGGCAGAGAAGGCAGTAAGCAGGGGTTATGTTGAAATGACTTAAAAGTAGGGGAGTGGGCCATGCAGGTGTCTAAGGGAAGGGAGCTCCAGGCAGAGAACACCCCAGTGCAAAGGCCCTGAGGCACGTTTGAGAAGTAGCAGGGAGGCCACAGTGGCTCGAGCAGAGGAGGAAGGTGGGCAGCCACTGGCTGCTGTGTGGAGTGCGGACAATTAGGGGCACAGGAGGAAGGTGGGAAAGGAGGGGAGGGAGCTGCAGAAACCAGGGCCAGGGGCCAGCAGGGGGAAGGGTGGGATTCTAGACATTTCCAATGGGATTTTCTGTTGGTGTGTTCCTTTCCAGACCTTTCCCTATTACAGCTATTTTAATCTACTACAGGTAAGGAGCTTCTGGGCTTATATCTGATGTCTGACCCTGCAGAAGTATATAGCTCATCAGGCTCCACCCATGTCTCCTGTCCTTTTCTTTATTATAGGGACCTGGAGGGCCCCCAACCACCTGAATTCTTTTCCTGCCAAGTGTGGCTACTTCCTACATTCCCATTCCAATGAGGAATTTGCTTTTTGAGCCCAATACTCAGCCTGCTTTATGCAGAAGGAGGTGGGTTTGGGAAATAACAGACTTAATGTCCCTTGAGAAGCTTCCATTCTGGGAGACAAAAGGAGCTAAGGCTGAGCGCAGATGTCAAGGACTAGGACACCATTCTGTTATTCCTCAGTAGAAATGGAGCTGCAAGGGACAAAAGAGAGGGGTGGGACCCAGGCTCTTCCCTTTGGGGATTTATAAGCATAGATCTCAAAAAATCCCAGCTCAGGCACTTCCTCCTCCAGGCAGTCTTTCGGATGGTTGATCACTCCCCTTTGTGATCCTACCTACCTGCTTCTGTCACTGGATCTGTCACTTTGGTTAATAACAGAGCTGCTCACATAGCCATCTCCTGGTGGATCTGGAGTGGCTTTGACAGAGGTGAAATGGGGTGGGATGCAGCCATAATGTTTGCCCTAGGGTCCAGCACACAGTAGGTGCTTAGTAAATGCTTAATAAAATGAATAAATGGTGCTGCTGGATTCGCAGAGGCTGATGGACCTCAGAGCTGATGGAGCATAAGCTTCAAGGCCCCTCACTCGCACTGGGCCCTTATGTGCTCATAAGACCATATGACTGTAAAATTTGCAAAAGTAAGATATCTTTGTATTCTTTTTCTTGAAAAGAACCTTCCCCCTCAGTTGTATGAGCTTCAGGATACACACAACCTGGACCCCACCCAAGGAGGGCTCAAAGAAGTGGGTTTTAGAGCTGGGCCTTGAGGGGTGGTGGGCTTATGCCAGTTAGATGGGAGCACATGCTTCTTTGGGGACCAGAAGGACAAGGGGCTGCCCTGATTCAGGTCGTGACTGATGGACCAGGGGCCCAGGACTTGTCTGGCTGGCCCATGAAAAAGTGCAAACTGTTCCCCAGACCCCTTGTATTTTTTTCTTCTCTTTCTTCTCACTTGCATTTCCTCTTTCTTTCATTTCTTTGTCCTCCCCTCCTTGACCAAGCCCCGAGTTCCTCCTCCGGGGGTTGTGGGCCACAGTGGGGGAAGACATTTCAGCAACCATCCCACCCCTACTCTTTCTCTTCCTCTCCTGATGCCCCACCGCCACTCGTCAGCACTTTGGCTTAGCCATTTACCTACTAGAGGCTTCAACTGCATCATCTGTAAAATGGGAGTAAGAAAGCCTGCCTTGTGAGACTTTTGTAAAGGTCGAAGGGGACAAGATGTGAGCAAATGTTTGTTACCTGTCAAGGGATGTCCAGGCACAAGCTCTTGTTCTGTCCCATCAAGTTTGACCTTCCTGAAATCCACAAATGTCCCGCAGCCCTGAGGGCTTCCCTGGTGGGGGATGAACTGCAGAGGCTCAGAAGCCAGACCCAAGTTCAGAGTCCCCACAGCCTCGGGTTCACTTCCTAGCCCTCTTCTAAGAGACCTGCCGGCTTCCAGTCAGTCGATGTCCATCATGATGGCCGGGTGCAGAGTCACTGACCTATAATTGCAACCTATTAGCTGTGTTTCCTCCTTCATTTGCACACGTGAATTTTGCCCTGCTTCCAGAAAGCAAATTGCAGGTTAGAAATCAGAATATTTCAAAAAGGGGTGAAAAGTTTGGGGCAGAGTGACTGCTACATAATGAAGATTCCTCTGAGAATGCCCAGCCTGGGCCAGGAAAATGTCGACGGCAGGCCCACATTCATTCAGGTGTCGAGCTCAGAGGGCTGGAGTGGGAGGGGGAACATCCCAGGCTGGAGGTCCTGCTCTCTTTCCTGCACTTCCAGATGATGCCAGGCAGAGAGGTGGTGGCTGGAGGTGCAACATGGCATCATTCCCCTGCAGATATCTGTGGGCACTGGCTGGGGGCCCAGTTCTGCTGGGCTTGTGTGAGCAAGCTGGGAGGGGACAGGCTGGGTGAAGTGGGAACATTTAAAGTCTCTGAACTAATGTCCCCAGCTTCTCGTTGTGGCTGGCACAGTGACAGTGCGGGGGACTGGGGTAATCACTAAAGCTGGCTCTGTGCTCTCTCTCTCTCTGGATTGAAAAAAAAGTTGTTAGCTGCGATGTTCCATCTTGACCTGGGTGGTGTCCAAATATTATAGACTTCTAGCCAAAGAAGGACCCCGGATGCAGTCAGGTGTAGTGCCTCTGCTTTAAAGAGCAGGAAATGGAGGTTTCTCTCCAAGGGAGCCCCTTCCTTGCCCTGTGGTCTCCCTGAAGTCTGTCTTCTCTCTAGTCCTGTGCAAGCCTCTGTGAGCTAAACCTTTCGGCAGGGGGGTGGGGTTGCAAATGCAGACGCCAACGGGGGCCAAACCCGAAGCAGAAATGAGTGTGCCAGGAGGAGGAGGCAGTAAAGAATTTTACTCGTGTCTTTATTTATTTAGCAAACACTTTTATGCCACTCGCTCTGTGGTAGGCACTGTTCTAACAGTTTTGCAAATATTAACTCATTTCATTGTTATTGTGATCCTCTGCAGTGGGTGCTATTATTTTCCCCACTCCACAATGACAGAACTGAGCAGAGAGAGATTAGGAGATGTGCCCTAGCCCCTCAGCTGGTGAGTGGCAGGGTCGTGCTGTAAACCAGGCAGAGCGGTGGGGACCGTGGCAAGCCAGGGCCAGCATGGACTCCAGCCCTGGCCCCTGCAGGAGGGCAGCCTCCACTCCACCCCAGCCCGTCTGGCCAGCCATACCAGCTTTGCAGGAGAAACTGGAGATCCATACTTGTAGGTGAACCCTCCTTTTTTAAAACCTGCTGCTGGAGAGTAGAGAGAGATGGGATCGAGGAAGGAAAGATGGGACGAGAAATGAAAGGAGTAGGGAGTGAAAAGGCTGTGACAATCGCCATTCATTCAACCAACATTTATTACGCACCTACTATATGCCAGGCACTGTGCTGGTGCTAATGGAACAGAGTTGAATGAGACATGGGTCCTTGCCCCAAAAGAGCTTATCGTTGTATTCTCATCTCGTCTGAATTTTACAGTGAGTATTTAGTGGCAGGAAGAGTCCCCTGACAGGCTCTGAAGGCCCGAGCTCCTCCAGCAGCGAGCCCAGCTCACTGGCACCTTGGGCAGAGGGGCGGTCCACTATCACATTCCTTTGCTTCCCAGTCTTAAGGAACAGGGGCCAAGTGGGCAGGGCTTTCTTTGCCCACTTGCCTTTTAAGTGGCACAAGTGGCCACGCTAGGCCTGGTGTTGGTCTTCCTGAGAATCGCAGGGCCCAACCCTGGGATTGCCAAGCATTACCATGGGGCATTCCTTTGGCATTCCTGGGCTGCTCACTTCTCCCTCCCGGCACTGGGCCTGTAATTCTAGGAGCTGCCGCCAGGGGGACGGTGTTGCCAGTTCACGCAACACTGGGCTGAGTCAACTGAGACACGCAGGACCCTCTGCGGCCCAGGAACATGTTTTGTCTCCAATGACCTGCCTTTGAGGCCCGGACACCAGCATCCTTCACTATGCCAGGTGTGGGAGCGTGCGGTGGCCCCATGTCCCAGAACACCGATGCAGAGAGGTGGGCAGCTTGCATGCGACAGAAGACAGGTCTCCGCTGCCCCGGGCCACCCTCCCCACATCCCCCTTCCCCCACCTGAGAACCTCATCGAATTGACTGATTCATTCCTGCTGCTTCTACAGCCTTTGCTTCCGTGTCTGCACCTTGAACTTGCATTAAGTTTTAATTAAAGCCGTTTCACCGGCCTTGCCCTTGGCTAAATGCAGCTGTGGGCACAGGGCACATAGATATTTAATACTCTGCCTCTCCCGCTGAAGGCGCACGGTGCCCAAGGGTGTACCCGAGCCGTGCCCGCTAGCAGCGATCCACATGCTCACTTAAGTGTGCCCACAGGCCCCGAGCGGGAGGCTGAGCAATAACTATTCATTGCCCTGGGTTAAGTGTGCCCAGGGGCACCCGTAAACTCCATGCAGTGATTAGCGATTGCTCCCAGTGAAGGCTGCCCGAGGTCCTGCGGAATGTCCTCGGCCCTAAATATAGCCTCCTTGTGGGGCCTTAAAGGGCAGCGTGCGTTTTTGCTGCGTGCTTGTTCCGGACTTCCTTCTTTAAGCAGAATCGTGTCCCTCCTTCTTAAAGCCCAACCTCCAGGGGCTTTTCTGCCTTCCTTCGCATTGCAGCGGAGGGCTGGGGTGTGAGAACAGAGGGACAGCTTTGGTGGTGACAAGGGGCAACACCAAATCCCCTCCACCCTTTCACCAAACCTCATGCATCTTCCTCATCCTTCCTCTTTGCTCTCCAAGTGAAGGCGGCACCTCCAGAGATGTGGGGACAGAGGGGCTCACTCCGGAGCTCCCCGTGGGCGGTCCTGGGCTCACTGCCGGTGGAGCAGCTCTGGGGGCTGAGAGGCTGAGCCGCCGTCTCCCAATGGCCTCGCTTGCTTCTTCCTGCTCCTGGGAGCCCTTCTCTGCCCCTCTGTCGGGAGGAGATGGGGGCGGGCGGCCTTGGGTGGGGGCATTGTCAAGGAGAGTCAGTCCCTTCAGCCTCAGTTTGGGGTTGGGGGCTGGTCAGAAGATCTCCGAGGAACCCAGTGCTGGTCCGGGACTGCCTGCTTGTGCCGAGACTTCCCTGCTTGGGTAGGAACTCAAGGCAAAGCGGGTTTTGGAAGAAGAGAGGACTGAGTAACAGCTGGGGGAGGGCGCTGCTGGTGCCTGCCGCAGAAGCTCCAGGGGGGTTCTCCCGGGCACCATAGCCCCGCCTCCCTCACCGTCTGTGCAATAGGAAGAAGGGTGTCCCCTGCAGGATGGCTACGATGCCGTATGGCGACCAGTCATCCTGGTTTGCCTGGGACTGCCCTGGTTTGGGCACTGAATGTCTCACATCGAGGGAACCCCTTCAGTCCCCAGGAAACTGGATGGATCGTCACCCTAACTGTAGTGCCACTGGTGGGCGTGCCGGCCGTGGACGCACTCTCTCCCCTTGCTTATTCAATCTGAAAGGGAAAGAAGAAGGGCGAGGAAGAAATGGGTGGGGCAGGGAGAAACCTGGGAGAAAAATAGGACGGGAGGACCTGGGGAGTCAGCCCACACGGACAGTGGGTCCTGAATGGCATCCGTGCCATACACACCCCCTCTTGGCCTCACCAGCTGTGCCCGGGACCCCAGCTGCCCCCTCGGCTGTGCCCAGGGTGGCAGCTGAGGCAATGACATTTTCCTGGGTCTGTTGACACTCGAGTCCCAGAACATAAATGATTTTCCCGTCTTAATGAGCAAACAACCCAGCCGGCAGCTCTCTCTCGCAGGCCTCCTGCTGCGGTAATTGCCAGCGCTTACGTGCTCAGGCACAGATGTTTACTCACTCACCTTTGCTCGCTTGCCCGGAGGTGTCACTTCCTTTTTACTCTGCAGGTCTCCCTTCCCCTGCCCTTGGGGCTCCAGTGGACTGGTGGGTGGGGCAGGAGCAACTTTCTGGAAGGTTCTGCCAGGCCCAGTTTTCAGGGACACTCCAAGGCAGGAGGTCTTGACTTCTGCTTTCCTTTGGAGAGTGTGGGTGGACAGCGCCAACTCTTCTGGGCCTGTGTCTTGGCAGCCGAAGCTGGATGCTTCCTCTGGTGCCTGAAAGGAAGAGGAAATCTGAGGAGGGGTCCCGGCCGTGGGTGGGAGGCAAGACCGGAGACTGGCTCTCTCCCATGCTAAGGTTCTCTCCTCTTATGGATAGAATGACAGGGCGCGCCTTCCTTTGCAAGGCCACCTGTGCCCATATTGCACAGCTGCGTGCCCAGACCTTCCTCCTGCTGGTCCAAGGTCTGTTCTCAGCAGCCTCCTGGAAGGAGCCGTCCCTCCTCCATTTCCATCCCTTCGAATATTTCACATCAGTGAGCTTTCCCTTCCTTCCCTTCTGAATTCCTCCTGCTCGTCCTCCTAGGATAGGGACTGGGGAGCCTCCCTGTCCCCCTCCCACCATCCAGGCACCCACCTTTCTTCCAGGCCCCAATTGCCAATGTCACCATAAACTCGCACATAGAACGGGGCGGGATTTCAGCCGTGCCTGGCCTGTGGGGTGCGGGCTGCATGGGAGGCACTGCCGATGGGGGTGACGGCACGTTCATGCTTCCAGCCAGGTAAAGGGCCCACCACCTGCCAGGTGCTCCCGCGAGGGCTCTGTTCCCATAAAGTGTAAGGAGTACGCGTGTCCCGTTTGCCTTCCTCCCCGTGTGGCCTGCTGCCTGTCCTCGGCCCTGTCACCTTCCCGAGTGTCTCCACAAGTGTGCCTTCTGCTTGAACCCCAAGGGACCCTGTCTCCTTGGCCCAGCTGGCTGTGTGTCCTGTTTCTTCAGCCCCTGCGGCTGCCGTCCCTTCGAGAGATGCTGGTGGCTTCTCCGGAAGGTGCCAGCCTGGTGGGATTATATGTGGACACCGCCACCGCCACCATCACGTGCAAAGCCCAAGGCAAACCCTCCTCGAGGCGCAGGGCTGGTGGTGGGCGGCAGCCCTGCCAGGCTTGGGGTCTCGAGGCCTATCATCCTCAGAGCTGCCATTGGGAGCGGCTTTCTGTCCCTCCGGTGTTGATTCAAATGTCCACCTGGGAGACTGGAAAGATGTAGGCAGGCGGCTTCGCAGATTGGGCTCCATCAGTGTGAAGTGCTGCGTGCGGCAGATGAGGGGGTCCTGCGATCACCTGCTCAGCCCTCCCGATGTGGCAGCAGGAGCATAATTACCATCTCCTTAAATAGCCTGAAGTTGTTGCCCTATAAGAGTGGACAGGCTCACATGACATTTGCTCGGAGCTCTTGCTAAAAATATCCCGGCTAAGTAATATTTTCTGGTGGCACTGGAGTTCCGTGACACTTGGGGTTTAGTGCAGGGGCTGGTCTGAGGGTGGGAGGGGGCCCTGTGGAGGGAGTTTCTGAAGCAGTTTCAGAGGCCACAGAGGGACACCCTGCCTCCCCTGCTGCTGAACAGCTCCCTGGACCTCCTGCCCCTTTGTCTTGTGAGCTGCTGCTGAGCTTATTCCTAGAAGCTGCTGGCCCTCTGGGTAAGACCCAGGAGCACCTCTCATGTCTGTCCTTCGTAGCTTCGTCTCCCTCTTGTCCCTCCCTCTGCTGGGCATCTTATCCTACCCCATCTGGCCTCTTCTTAGCCCCGGTTTGGCCGTGCATTCCTGAATTGCTTGGGACAAAGAGACCTTTGCTCTTCCTAGGGGGCGTGAGTGTGTGTGGCCTATGGGTAGGGTGTAGAGCATGGATAAAAAGTGGAATCATCCATTAGAGGCCTCCAAGCCCAGGGTCTTCGCACCTCTGGAAGGTCCTGAGATGCACTCCTGGGGGTCTGAGAGTAAAGGTGGAGGGGGTCTGCAGCCCTCATCAGACCGGCTTCCCAGGGCTCTGCCAGCTGACAGTGCTTGGGAGCCCTGATCTAGACCCTGTATGTGAGAACTGTTTCGTTCAGCTTGGGGTGTAATACAGAGATGCCCAGAATCTGGAAGACCTCCTCCTCCCTCCAGGGGATCTCAGTTCTAAGGAACGCTGTATGCAGAGTGAGGCGGACCAGAGGCTTCCGCATGGGCGGGCGGCTCAGAGATGACTAATACTCTACGTTTGTACAGAATTTTATCAGAGTCCAGATTTCATTAGGGGACTCTGGTGAGTTTAGGGCATTGCAGAAGGCCTTGCCAAGCCCCCAGACATCTCTTTCCTTATTCATGATGCCTGAAATCCTCTTATTTGGAGACAGATGCTTTCATTTAGCTGCCGCAGCACTGGCTTAAAATGCCCCCATGAGAAGGCTGACACAACGAAATTCTTGCTAAAGTGTAAACAACTGATAAGAGCTTTATTTCTTAAGAGCAGCTTTGGTAATGAAAGGGGGCACCAGGCTAGGTCACCAAAGCTGAAGACAATCTTGGCAGAGATATTTCTGCAGCTTCCCAGGGCAGTCCTGCTCCAGGCATCTGCTTCCTTATGGGCTTCCACAAATGACGAGTTTCCTGCAGGTGTTTGGGATGGCTTTTTTTTTCTGTTCTTCATCGGTGCGGCCCAGTTCCAGCCCAGGCAAGCATACCAAGTGATCTCATGTCACCGATTCAGGAGGTGTGCTCTGCTGGCCATGGGTGTGTCCCTGCTAAGGTCCCGCTACCACCCTTGTGTCTGCATACCTGCAACATGTGTATTTTTTGGTGTCATGTGTACTTCCCCATTCCAGCGTCATCCCAGCCAGGGTTGGAGGTCTTAGTTCACATCCCAAAACAGAGACTGGTTTGAAGAGGATCCTACTTGGAGGAAAGCCTGAGCTAAAATTCCTCTCAGTCCACCAGTCCAGCACAGTGACTGAAAACAGAGACTTTGTGCTGGTCCGTGTCCCAACAGCTGGGTTGCCCCAGGTCCAGGTCAGTGTCCTGGTGGTGGCATGCGCCGTCCTGGCTCTTCTAGAGGCCCCTTCTCCTTCAGGCCACTGACAGCATGTGGAGTCAGAGACGTGGAGAACAGAACTGCGGGGCTGACTAAAAACAGACCATTACTATTTATGCTCCTGAGGCCTGGCGCTCTTTCCAGGGTGGCCCCGTGGGAGGACAGCCATAAGACGCAGGATGCACCCTGCCCTATGCAACTAACTCCTCGTTGCCCCACAGCAGTTCCTGGAGGCCCAAGGAGCTCTGGGAATGCAGGCTTTTTACAGGGTAGCCCTGAGCCAAGGGTTTTCCCCCAGTGGCTGCCCTTGTCCCTGGGTGGTGGAGAGCTTCCAGAACATGGGTGAGTGCGTCATCATGAGGGTAGGCCCACTGCTAGCAGGCACACGCTGCATGAAACTTCTTTCTCTGGCTTCGTGGTTCTTTCTCCTGTGACAAGGCTTCCTTTTCTGGACCTGACAAGCCCCACACCCAACCCAGTAAGTGATGACGTCAGGCACACTGTCTGGAGCTGGCGCAGGAACGGGAGTGGCACGGGAGCTAAGTGGTGATGTGGTCACTGGCTCTGGAGTCAAAGTGCTGGGAGGGGACAGGAGGCCCGTCAACTTCCCAGCTAGTTGCAGACCCCAGTGAGTTCCTTAACCTTGTTGAGCCTTAGTTTTCTCATCTGCAAAATGGGAATGTCCATACCTGCTGGGAGGTGATGGGGGTTGGGAGTTCCTGGCACAAGATGAGCCCTTTCCTCTTTGACCCACCCAGCTATCTGGGTGGGCTGTAGCCCTGCAGGTCACTCATCAGCCATCGGGCTCCTTGGCAAAGAGCACTATGAGATGCAACTTACTTCTTAGCCCAAGACAAACTCTCTTCTAAGTATGGTATGTGTCCTCCGTGCCAGGATGCTGGGATTTGCATCTTGAAAGGGGTTTTTGGTGAGAGCACGGCTGCCAGACAACCTGGTATTCACAAAACCACCAGGAGCAAAACCCATTGAAATACAGCATAAGGAAATACACATAATTCACAAATGATGTTGATCACTTTCATCTTAGACTTCCCAACTGTCCTCAATAGAAGACAGACGCGAAGGAGATTTAACTCAGATGTTAATAGTGCAAGAATGCCCTGTTACCAGGATATGATGTTTCGGTGCTGCATAAAAATGTAATTATATTCAGAACTATATTTAAAGATTAAAAGAGGGACTGCCTACCACATCTAGCCCCAAACTCAGAATTAGAAACAAAGGAAAAGGCGGGGTGGGGGATGAGTTCTAACAGTCTGCTAAAAATGGAAATGTTTCTCGAAAGTTTTTACACATTTTGGCTGTTTTTATTTTAACAGTTTCCTGCAGCAGTGACATTGATTTTTGGAAAAGGAGAGCTAGAACTCTACGCAATGCACGTTCACTAGGTACTTGCTGTGGGATGCCCGTGCAGGGCTGCAGAGGGGACAGGGACACCAGATTTCATTCTTGCTTGCAAGCAGCATCCAGTCTGGAAAGGGAGAGAGGAAATGTCCAGAGAGTCATAACAGAGGGCAGGCAGGCTTGGGGAGATGCCAAGGGGCAGTAGATCTTCATCCTGGGCTTTCAAGGGAGGGTAGGTTCTTGACAGGGACATAGTAAGTAAAAAACAAAATTAGCTTGGCAATAGCAATAAGAACATTTTATAAAAAGATTTTGGCCTCTCGGGAAAGATTTACACAGGAAAAGAATGTTCTCTTTCTTGTTTTATTAATTTCAGCAGCCAGAATGAATCTCTCCTTTCCTTGGTTCCTAGCACACCTTCCCTGTACCTGCCTGCAGCTTCTAGGTCCTTCTATTCTTGTTATAGTTACTGGTGCATGCTCCTGTCTCCCTCTCTGGTCTGTGACTTCTTTGAGATTGGGGCTGTGTCTTTTTCATGGGCCTTATCAGGTTGCCTTGCCCTTGGTAAGCACTTGATAAATGCTTGTTGGACTGCATTTTCTTTAGGAATTAAAAAAAATGTTTTAGACAAAGAACATTTCTCTGAGTAAATAGGTGACTAATATGTTGGAATATTAATGCACCAGGATTGCCTAAACACTGTGGTTAGAGATTTCTTTTTTTATCTCCTTCCTCCCCACCCCCCACTCCAAAAAAAAGTGGTTAGAATTTACAGGAGGAACCCTAATTATTTAAAATCGTAGATGTCTAGAACAGTCAGTGGAGGCAATGGAGTGTCCAGTCTGTAGAAGAGAAACCAAGAGGGTGGTTAAATTATAGCTGTTTTATGTTTTAAAACAGGGATTACTAACAAAAATGCCTCTAGAGGTCAGGCAGGGAGTGTAAATATGTGAGGGCAAGAAAACCTATGGCCCGAGTGGAAGACGATAAAGGCGGAGGAGCTTGGAGCGGGAGGAGGCTGCAAGTGCTGGAGACTTGGGTGAACGGGCAGCCACGGGACCCCGCTAAAGACAGTGTCCTTACTTGGCTGGAGCTCATTCCTGCCTTGCAAGGCAGCAGGCCAGTGGGGCCAAACCTTCTGACTTTCCAGGAGAAGCTGGTTACAAAATTTTGTCAGTTAATTTAGAAAATATTTAAAACCCTCTGGAGGCCAAACCAAACATGTCTAAGGGCTGTTGGGCCTACGAGCCAGAATTTGCAAGCTCTCACCCAGCAGTTCTCAACTGCGGTGTATTTTTGCCTCCCAGGGGACATGTAACAACGTCTGGAGATATTTTTGATGCTCCTATGCTGCTCACATCTGTTGGGTAAAGGCAGGGATGCTGCTGAACATCTTGGAGTGCACAGGGGGGCCTCTCCCACACACCACAAAGAACGTTCTGGCTCAGAATGTCGACAGTGTCAAGGCTGAGTCTGGTTCCATGTGGTCCCTGAGGCTGGGCTGACATATCTGGCTTCAAAATAAGGAATGGCTTAAAGGTGAAACTGGCTGGTCACATCAAACAGGGGCAGGGAGTCAGACCCAGGTGCCCTTCACAGAAAACCTCAAATTCTGTGATTCAGTTTCAGAATTTTGATGCCCACATACTCTCAAAAAGGACCTCAGGTCGAAGGACTTGAAACCCGATGCTTGAACTTGACCTCCCAAAGTCTCTGTCTCCCTGTCTGTAAAAAGGAGGCACACCTGGCCCCTCTAGCGGGGTGTTAGTAGGATTTTGCTCCCTTGGGGGGAGCAAAAGGAACCTCTGCTTCCTCTCTGGAAGGTTCCTTTTTGTCTATTTCAATTGCTGCCCCAAACTGTTCCCTTCCCACCATCCCCAGGACCAGATAACCTTCCGGGAGGATGCCATCTGCCACCTCTGCCCAATTCCAAACCGGAGGATCAGCTGCCTTTTGAGGCCGAGGGAAAGGCTTTCTAAGAGCTTTGCTCACCAGCGTGGGACTGGATGTAAGTCTGGTGCCCCATCTTCTACCCACTGTTTCCTCGGAAGGGCTCCAGTCCCACTGAGCCATCAGTGGACCCAGCCAGGCATGAGGCCCCCCTCTTTCACCACCATTCTTCCAAAGGGGGCCCCTCTCTGACCACTGGCCATGTCTCCTCCTCAAATTCAGAACCTTCCCCAGAGAAAGCAAGGGGCTGCCGAGGGCTCCCATCTGAGGGCAGCCTCCCCACCTTCCCCACCAACCGTCCTGCCTGCGCCTTTGACCTCCCAGGGCCTTGAGACCCAGCAAAAGGAGGGAAGGCCAGCAGCTGTGCACACAAGCAGAGGGAGGGAAACTGAGGCATGCCTCCAAGGACTTGTGGCTAGAGCCTGGGAGCCACACCTGCAGGATCAGCATGAGGCTGGAGCTCCCACAGGCCCTCTTCTTTGGGCTGCCATCCTTAGAGTGGCTGAAGCCCACATCCTCTTACATGTGATGCTTTCTCTTTCTCCACTGCTCTCTCCCTGAAGGGGCCTGCACCATTCTTGCAAACAGACAAAGTTGCAGGAGAAACAGTCCCCAGGCTCACCCGGGGAAAGTGGGGTTATCTGGACAGCCTTGTCTTCAGCAGTACTGTCCTCAGAGTCCATAGGACTTGTCCAGGTTAGCCCTGGGCCCCCTTGCCCAGTCTCCCCAGCATCCCCCACTCCAACCCATAGTTGTTCTCAGATGTTTCCTCTCCTTGGCTGACTCTCTGGGAGTCCAAACAGTGCAAAATGTTGGGGTCTCAAGGCCATCTGCTACCCTAACTGACAGTCTAGACCTATAAGGCCTGAGCAGGGCCCCGCCCGGCCACCACTGAGTCCCCACCCCCACCCCACTGGGAGGGTTGGCAACATGGGGGATGTGGCTGCCAAACAGCCCATGCAGTGGAGACGGGGCCAGGCCAGCCAGGAGGGCCAGCCACTGATGAGGCCCTTGAGGATCAGGCTGACCAAAGAGGCACTGGGTTCTGCTGTTCCCCCAGAGCCACGGGAAACATCCCCTGTGATGGGGGATGCCCCATCAGGGCCCCCCGATCTGACATCCCCAGAGCCCAGTCAGGACATAGATGGGCTGGGGCTCACCGTGCTGCTGGGGATGACGCCACAGTTACTGCCCAACAGTGAGTACGTCCCAGGTGTGCTGGCGGGAGCCGGGCTCTGGTGCCCGTCTGAGGGCCTTGGGACCTGGGCACAGAGGAGGCACCTCCGAAGGCAGCATGCCGCCAGTCTCATCAATGAGCAGCTGCCTTATGACTCTCCTGACAGCCCTCTGGCCTCCCTCTCAAGGAAGCCCCCGGCCTCCTCCATGGGAGGGTCGTATAGAGCCCCTAGCTGGCCCGTGGAGCAGGCTGAGTTGGAGGCTGCACGCAGCCAGCAAGCTTGGAGTCTGTGGGCTCCCATGGACATTTCAGAACATCAATAGGGGGCTTTTGGAGAGGCCCCCCCCTGCCGGGGTGAGTGCTGGGAGCAGCCCAGGGGATGCCTGGTACACAGGAGTAGGATGGGCAGTGTGGGGGTCTGCCTCCCCCAGCTTGGCCTCCTGCCTGAGTGCTGGGCGGTAGTCAGTCACCTTTGCGTGCTTACCTCTGGCTTCCATGTGCTGGGGTGTGGGGGACGGAAGCGTGAATGGCTCAGACTCTGCAGTCCAGCTGGCAGAGTCCCAGTTCAAGTCCCAGTCTCTCCACTCTAGCTGTGTGACCTTGGGCAAGGCCCTAACCTCTGTGCCTCAGTTTCCTCATTAGTCAAAGGGGGCGTGATAGTAGTTCTTCCCCAGTGGGCTGTTATGGGTAGCGAGGAGATGGACAGAAAGCCAGTGGCACAGGGCCCCCCACACAGCATGTGCTCAGAACCGGCGGGCCCCTGACCTGGGTTGTGGCTGCCATCCCGGCAAATCAGAGCAGTCAAACTGCTCCGTCCCCCGGGAGGTTTTCTCATTCCAGGAGAACACAGAAGGACCGCCGCCACAGTTCAGACATTTCCAGGTGGGGAGGCCTGGAGGGTGATAAGGTCCTTCCGTGTGGGATGCTCCTCCCCCGGGGCCTCAGGGGCTGTGACCCCAGGCCTCTAAAGGGCACCACGGAGGAGAAGGGAGGGTGACTTCTTTGTTTTCATAACTCACTACTCCCTCCTCGGGGTTCCCATGGCAGCAGCTGGTGCCCCACTGGCTTGACTGCTCCCATGACCCTCGCTGACCCCCGGGGACTGCAGCGCTCCCCGGCTCCCTGGCCCAGGAGCCCAGCTGCGGCCTCAGCCGGAGTGGCACCTGGCGGTGCTCCCCTGGAAGGGTGGCACTCCCACCCCCTCCAGGCCAGGGAAGCAGGATTTGAAACGCAGCCAAGGCGTGGAGGCCTTTGGCAACGCCCCGAACATGAAGCAAATAAATAAATAAATAATCAGGGTTGTCTCAGCTGATAAACAGGCTCTACCTCCAGGATAGCTTCTCCCCCTGCCCGCGCCCTCCTCCCTCCTTCTCTGGGCAGATTCATCCCAGGCAAAAGCTTAATAGCCCCATTTAAGGCTTTTCCTTTTCACCACGGAATTGAGCTGCTCCTGCCATTACGAGGTTTTCAGCTTCTCTCTGAAATCAAATTACTGATTCCATTTAATTTTTTAAAAGCTCGGATGATTTCCCTTCTTGAATCAGAGCCGTGACTCCAAGGCCAGCCTCCCCCCACCCCGCCCCGCCCTGCCCTGCCATGCGGTTCCCCTGCGGGAAGCCACTGTCCAGGGATGGCAGCCCCTCTGCCAGGGCAAGCCTGACACCTAGAGGGGAAGCAGCAGGGGGAGGCCCGAGCCTGTGACCACTCCTCTCCCAGACACCTGGCTGGGGGGCCTGGCTAGGGGAAGAAAGAAGCCTCACCCACCCCCAGGATTGGCTCCCAGGAGCCCATGGATTTAGGGCTGGCAGCTCTTCAGAGGCAGTAGAGAAGGTGGTGAGAGCCCGAGCCCAGGGCTGATCATTGTGGGCTCACTGTTAGCTGGTTCCCCAAACTCCCAACTGACTTCCCTTAGTATATATCACAGACCGCATCATTAGACACAGGGTTATGGAGCTCATGTTCTGTTCCGGACATGGTTCCAGCCCTGGGAAGGGGATGGTGAGTCGGACAGAGGAAGTCCCTGTGTGGGAGCACAAGTTCGTGCGCATGAACAGGTGCCTGCGTGAGAGGGGATGGAGGCTGACAGCAAACACACCTGCAGACAGTCTCAGAAAATACGCAACTTGGATGGGCTGGGCAGGGACTGCTTGGGGTGGGACGGCGAGGGCAGCCTCCGAGAGGGTATACCTGGATGGTGCCCGGGGGGCATCTGGGCAGAGAGACAGCAAGTGCGAAGGCCTGCAGAGGATTCCAAGGACTGAAAGGAAGCCACGGAAGCCAGGGGACTGAGCAGGAGGAAGTGGGGGCAGGAGAGGGCAGGACAGCTTTAGAGGCTGGCTGGAAAGTGCACCTCAGAGGGCAGGGGCAGCCGTGGGGCTGGGGAGTAAGAGGCCCACCTGCCCCACTGGAAGGAAAGGTGGTTCGAAGGGCCCCCTCCGTGAGGGCGTACGGTACCCCTACCCTACATCCAGATGACTTGGTGGGGGTGTCCGCGGTGATGTTTGACAGGTCACGTCAATCTCACAACACTGCAGTCTCTGTCTCTCTCTACCTCTCTGTCTCTGTCCATCTGTCTCTCCCCTGCCTCCCCTTCTTCATTTCTGCAGAGCCACCCAGCTTTGGGGCATCGCAGACCAGGGGTGCACACACCTGAGAAAGTCCTGTAAACCAGCGCTGACCCTTTACTAAGTCCTCCTCATGTTTAACCACCCTGCATCCTTGGAGACGAGACAAAGGGAATGGAGTTAATGAAATCACCAGGCTTTACCTGGCATAAGTGGCTCTTCACCCCCAGGCGAGCGGCGATCTGCAAGGCTGAGAGGGTCTGGGCATTCTTCCCAGCTCAGCGCACCGCACAGCTGCAACAAACCACTTTACTTCTCTTCCTTCCCCTTTGCTTGCTCTGCACCGACTAGAAACTGGGACAGTCATGTTTAATCAGAAAGTGCTTGGGCTTCTGGGAGGTCTCCTGTTCTCCCTCAAGACAGGACAACCCCAGATCTGTGATCAGGGCTCTGGGTCTACCAGGGCCTGGGTGGCACCTGTGCCCAGTCCCAGGGCTGTGGGTACATCTGCACGAGAGCTTTCTCTGCTTTGGGGGCCTCCAGTTTTCCTGCTGAGACCTCCCAGGTCCTTACAGTCATTTGTTTATGGCTGATGCGTCTGTGATCAGTGATACCCTGGCAGGGAGTTCCCCAGGTCAGCGCCCTGCTGGGCAGGATCTCAGACAACCTGGGAATTCGGGGTGGTTAGGCATCCAGGGGGCCCCCACACTCAGTAGCATTGATCCTCATCTTTTCCCCCTGTGACTCTGCATGTGAAGTTCCCGTTCTGTGATGCATTTATGGGCTTCTCTCCTGTTGCACGAAGCAGCCAGCGGTCCAGTTTCCCTTTTGGGTTTTTCTCCTTGAGCACAAAGCTGGTTTTCACACCCTCACGTCCAGGTACATTGCTTTTCCTGCGGAAGGTCTTGAATGTTGAGATTTTGGGGGCTCCCATGCAGCCTTCTTCCATCACAACATGCTCTTGCAGCTACTCCGTTGGGTATTTGAATATTACTTATGCTGAACCTGGAGTCATCAATTAAGTAATCTTCCAAGCATAACCAGAGAGGCAGTGTGGTGGGAAGAGCCTTCTTCCAGGTGTCCTGCCCAGGCCGTGTGACCTTGAGCAAGTCAGTTCATTTCCTGGAGCCTCTTGTTTCGTCACCCGGCTGTTTGGAAATGGGAGCTGATGGCCAGGCGACCTCTGCTTTCAGATAACATGGGGGGTCATCCCATGAAGGTGTAAGTCAAGTGTCCCTGCAAGAACCTCACCCCTGTGGGCCCGTCCTCCCCAGCTCAGCCCTGGCCCACCTCCTGACACCTCTTCTGCTCATACGTCTGATCTTTGGGGGTGGGGGCTGCCGGAGACATGGAGCCAAGCCAGTGGGGGGACAAGATGGGATGGTAGGGAGAGATGAATTCCTCTGCCTCCAGGATAACAGCCATATTTGCCATTCCTACACCTCCATCTGCCCACTGCAGCTGGCACCATCCCCCTGCAGGAAGGGAGCAATTGTTCTTCCCACTTTACAGATGAGGAAACTGAGGCCTGGGGCCTTGCCCAAGGTCACATAGCTAATAGATGGCAGAACCAGGGCTCAATCCCTGTCCT